AAAAACACAGACTGGGAGAAAAATATTTACAAATCATATATCTGATAAAGTATCCTGTTCTTATATCTAGACTATATAAAGATCTCTTGCAATTCAATAATAAGACAACAAAGAAACAAAATTCATCTAAAAATGGGTAAAAGATTTGAACATAACATTTTACCAAGGAAGATCTCTGAATAGCCAATAAGCACATGAAAAGATACTTACCATCATTATTTGTTAGGGAAATGCAAATCAACACCACAATGAAGTTCCACTTCACACCCAGGAGAGTGGCTTTCATCAAAAAGACTGACAGTAACAAATGTCGGTGAGGATATGGAGAAATGGGAACTCTCACGCATTACTGGTTGGAATAGAAAGTGCTGCAGCCACTTTTGGAAACAGCTTTCTCAAAATTCCTCAAGAAGTTCAACATAGAGATACCATATGACCCAGCAATTCCCCTCCTAGATGTATATGCAAAAGAGATGAAAACATGTCTTTGTATGTGCATTATACCTAATAGCCAGAAACCAGAAGCAACCCACATGTTCATCAGTGCGCGAACTACGGAACAATGGATGGCAATATCCACACGTGGAACACTATTAAGCAGTGAAAAAGATTGAAGTATTGACATATGCTACACCATGGATGAACCTTAAAAACATGATGAAAGTGAAGGAAGCCAGATCAGAAGACCGTATAATGTGTGATTCTGTTTACATGAAATGTCCCGAAAGGGCAAATCTTAAGAGACAGAGTGCCGATCAGTGATTGCCCAGGCTGGAGGTAGGAGGGAGGGTTGACGCGGACATGGAGAACTTTCTAGAGTGATGAAAATGGTCTAATATTAGATTGCAGTGCTGGTAGCACAATGTAATAAAATTACTAAAAGTTATTCTATTGTACACTTATCATGGGTAACTGCCGTGGTATGTCAGCTATACCACAATAAACTCAAAAATAAAGGAGGAAGAGAGAGGAGGAAGATGGAACAGAAGCAGAAGGGAGGAGGCGTCACCAGTTCTCCAGCTGTGTGGCTTTAGGCTGCTAGTATTCCTTCTAAACAGGTTTCTTCCTTGTTCTTCTGTGTAAATGGGAATAATGGCGTATATCCTGTAAGGTTCTTGTCAGGGTTAGCTCAGTAAATGGTCGTATTTTTTTGAAGAGAAATTCCCCTCTTTTTCTATCCATTTCTCTCTTCACCTTCTACAAACATAGATTCTCATAAAAAGGGACCTGACGTGTGATAGGAATAAATGGCAAATGCTGGTCCCATGCGGGTCTCCTTCTTCACAAGGAGTCCTCCCTGTTTATTACGTGGCTGTGGAAAATAAGATTATGTTTCAACGGAATCTTAGCGCATTTATTTAGTGCTATCGAACGAAAGAAGGAATGGTGAAAAATGAGATTTGGAAACTTTATTATTAGGGTTATTAATTCTAATTATCCATAGTATACCTCTCCTTCTAGAACCGCTGAGTAGCCACTTGAACCCAGCCGTCAGAGGAAC